GCCCGCGTCCGTCCGTCCGCCCGCCATCTTCTGTTCCCGGGGCCGCGGACGGGCGGGCTTTGAGGGGAGCTCGGGTGTGGTGGCGGCAGCGAGGTGCGGGAGAGGGCAGCGCCGGCCCGCGGCCGAGCTGTCAGCGGGCGCGGAGAGGGCGCCGATGGCCGCAGCGGGACAGCGTCCCCTGGGGCAGGCTGCGGCCCCGGACGGTGGTGGCGATAAGCGCCCGGCAGTTCGGGCCCGGGAATGCTGCTCATTGTTGGAGAGGGCGAGGAAAAGTTCTGTTGACTTTCTTGGACAACGTTCAGTAGTCATCACGTTCACTCTGGTCGGGAAACTCCTATCGGTTTTCTTCGCGCAGCTCTTCGTCCCTGGGTGGTTCTAGCGCTGGTGCGGGCCCGCTCGGTCCCTCACGGCGCAGTGGCCGAACGCAGGGCAGCGCGAACTCAAGTGCCATCTGAGGAAAAGTTACTTTCAGAGACAAACTTTTATAGAAAAAGCACAAACTCGGCCAGCTTTCTAAAAGCTTGAAAATGGCCGAGGAACTTCTCACATTTGTTTTTAATCGCTTGTCACTGAAAGATCTTCTATATTAGTTGTATTAATTTTCTGTTGCGTTTTCAAAGCAGATCGAGATAAGGGCTTTAAAGTAAACAGGAAGACTTTCAATTAGTTGTGGCTAATTCTGTTCAATTGCCTCGTCTGGAGGTCATGCTGCTTTACTCATGAAATGTGGATGGTTGTATTGACACCATATGGAACTGAACACAGGCACGGCTCTGGGAGTTGACTATTTCCAGGACTGGTATAGGAAAGTGTGAGGAGAAAGAAACTTCTTTTTTTTTTTTTTTTTTTTTTTTTTTTTTTTTTTTTTTTTCCTTATGTGATTGAAACATACAGATCTACTACTGGATCTGCTTTACATTCAACAAATGGTTTTGCTTTCTATTATATTTCATCCCTCTTATTCTTTTGAACTGTTTCAGGATGCCCAATTGAGTTTTCTGACAAAATCCAAGTATTTTTTATAATATAATGTAAGCTTTATAGTTTAGTTTCTTAGCATACATCAATTCTGTTAAAACTCAGATGTGGTAAATAAAAAGAGGGAAAGTCACAGAACTTTTAATTTTTTTAGACTTGCTTTTAAAAGCATTTTTTGTTAGCGGTAATCCAAATTTATCTTTTCCACTTATGTTCCCCGAGAGACAATAAAACACATTGCAGGGCTTTGTTAGCACAAGGGATATTTTTCTAATTAGAATTCCCTTGGTAGTGTAAATTGCCCTTATGTAAGTTCACATTCCTTTAAAAGTGTGAGAAAATAAGTTCCGCTTGTATAAATAAGCTTTCGTCTGTTGTAAGAAACCCTGCTGTGATTACTCATTGGACAGCTGTGTCACTTGCTTTTAAACTCACAGAAGTACATCTTTGTAGGTGTCACCAAACCATGTGGTCTGGCCACTTTTGTGTAAATATTTCTTTTGTTTGTGACAAATGCCTTAGAAGTACCCAGCTCTTTCTTCCTTCCCCTCTTAATAAGACCAAGGGAGAGTGTGGGGTTGTCTGTTACCTCCAGCTACCCCTGTGCTTGCACCTGGGATTGTGCAATCTGATAATTAATGTGTTCAGCTTTGCATATGCAAAAAAGGTTTGACTAGTCTGGATTATTGTTGCAACAAACTGCACATTACAAATTGTAAAAGACTGTTTATGAATTTTATTGCTATATGTCTACTATGTTTTCCATGAGACTCTATAGTGGGTATAGCCAAAGGCTAGTAGTTTAATTGCAGGCTTTTTAGTCCTCTTGAGAAAACAACAGCTTTTTTACCACATTCTCAGCGTAGCAGGCGAGACCCCCAAGCAGGAGAGTGAAAGCTCTTCTGCCTGAGAAGGTCTAGGCCCATGTTAGGCGTTACACCTTCCTTTGCCCGTCTGTACTGGCTCATATGGAGAGCAGGTTTTTGAAACTCTTGCTGCATTCTTTCATGCCTTTTTTTGTTCAAATTCCCTGCTGAAACAAAATGAGAGTGACCTCAGAATGGACAGGGAGGGGAAAAAAATGAGCCCAAGTTATGTCCCCTTCTTGATGGCAGGTGTGAGTCTACTGCTTTGTATGGAAGTGGCTTCATAAGGTGGGGTGTAAACAGAATGTAATAGCCAGCTTCACTGTGATTTTATCCAAAAATACCTTCTTCTATGACTTTGCCTTCATGAGAGGTAACAGTCAGCTGAAAACTGATTAACATTTAAAATGGCTTTGTGTACAGATAGTTTTGAAGTTGGATTTCCATTTAATTCCAGGATGTGTATCCTGATATTGGAAGAATGTGGTGTTGTTAGAGAAGGAGGAGGAGGAAGACTGTTGAGCATTGGCCAGCATCCTCCATGTGTGCAAACTCCCACTGGCACTGCAATACCCTTTGCCAGGTTTATGCAGGAATGCTAGAACTGTCGGTGGGGCAGGAGGGAAAGTCTGAAAAATGCTTTTCACTTTGTTTGCATTACATCTTTAGTATTTACATTTTATAAATCCTCTAGTTCTCTACCAGAATTGCCAGAAAAAAAAGCTGTGTGGTTTTCACAGCTGTTTTTCAATATTTTCCAGACTAAAGCTTGAACATAGCAAGCTGATTTATGAGTCACTTTGGATCAGTGTCTTAAAACAGCTACAGCCTGGCTTTTTGTTTTTCAGCTCTGCTGATTTCTGCTGAATTAGCAGCTCTATAGGCCCCAGTGGGACTGATTAAGGAACTGTTGCTGGATTTGCATTTTAAAATTTGACTTGGGGCTCAGGTTTCTGAGTTCTCTAAGGAAGAAGATGATAATTGTGACTAAGTGTTGTAAATTAAATTAGAGTCTAAAAGTTGTATCTATAAAATGTGTGAAGGAGCACTTGCCTTCTACCTCTACGCATTAGGCTTCCTTTCAGTTTTTAATTAAACAAACATTGATGTTCAGAGTTAAGTTTCAACTGATTCTGAGACTTGTGAGTTTCAAAAGATGGTCATACAAACATAATGGAACATAGAAAATAGTTTCTTTCATAGAACAGGTTTCTTAGAGGGTAAAAACTGTGGCATGCTTTCTCAAGTGGAGGCAATTCTCCTTAAATGTCCAATCACTTCTATTAGAAATGTGAGGTGAAGAACAGGTATATATGCTTACTGTTGATATAAAGAATTTCTTAATAGAAATAGAATAGATGTCTGGTTTCTGACTTTTCAGTGTGTGTTCTGTTCTATCTTCTATGACTTTTGAATTCTAGTAGCAAAATTAATCACAGAGGGAATTTTCTCCCCCCTTGTAATTTGGTTTTAACATACAAGGAAAATTCAGAAATGGAAAACACATAGTAATAATGTTTGAACAATGTCAGTTCCATTTCTGCGAAGGAAAAATAGAACTTAATTTTCCAACTTTTTTTTCTTACTTTTTTTAAGGTATGTTGAGAAATTCATTGAGTTGAAACCTACAGCTTTGCAATTGGGATGATAGATTTTTATATTTAAAAAAAAGTGCCAAATCAGTGCTTATAAGTTTAAGAAACTTCGACAGGCATAAGCTTCACTTAGATTATGAGTAAAAGGCAAATATTTTAACTCTTGATTCACTTCCAACCACTCTAATTGAACTTAAAATGTAACTTGCAAGGCTTTTTTTCTTGAATTTTCATGAAGTTTCCTATGCCTGTAGTACTGAAGTAATATTTAATAAAATATTTATAATACATACTTAATGCAACTATTGGTAGACAAGTATATATACTGTATGAAACAGGCAATTCAGTATTGTCTGGAGGGTTGGGCATTTTTTGTTGGTTTTTTGCTTTGGGTTTTTTTTTCTATCTTGTGTTTGACAACCTGCTGTAAGTAAACCAGGCGTAAGAAATTTTTATGTATGTATTTTTTAAAGTAGGTGCTACTTGGAAAATGTGAATGTATCTTTAGTGTTAAAAAACAAACACAAAAAAAAAAGTAGTTTAAAACCTAGTGTTAGTTACGCTCACGGTTGCCTTGATAGACTCCAGATGGATGTGAGCTTGAGCTATGAGTGAAAGTGTCTGGCTCCAGTGTGGTGATCATGCACAGCAGTGGTTGTAATTGCAGGATTTTTATAGTTTCAGGACTCTGCCAGATTTTTTTTTTTTTTTAGCATGTTATAACTCCAGCAGAACAAATCTACTCACGTCTGTTACTGTCTGGTAGGTCCTTTAGGCAAACATGCCTTAAATAAACCTTTTGCAGAGTTTTTAGGTGAAATGAAGAAATGCAGGTTTTTAGTGCTAATGTTGAAAGCTCTTTGTTGAAATAATTACTGATTCCTAAGTCTTGTCTGAAGTGTGAACAACAGTAACGTTAGGCACTAACAGCCATAACTTAATTGAATTTTGGCTGTTTATTTGCATAGTTCTTATAATCCCTACAGACTAAAGCCAAATACTGAATTAAGGGGAAAAGCTGTCTCTACTCTGCCTTTAAAGGACCAAGTTAGATTGATGTCTAGATTTTGCAGCAGCATGCTTTTTTCAGTATTTACGCTTAAGAATGCAATGTGAGAATTCCAATTCTGTGCAGCTTATGCCTTCAGATGTTAAAGGAAGGGATTTTTCTCCAGTCTGTGGCCAGGAGAATGTTTTCACTAGATTTTTAAGCAGTGTAGGATGCAGTCCTCTAACTTCAGTGTGGTTAACCTAATATACAGGAGAGCTGAAAATCATAATGGTGAAACTAAAATTAGTGGGCTTTTGAAAACATTGACACTATTGGTTTTCCGTTGTTAAGAGGAAAATCTGTAGGGGTTTAAACACCTGAAAGAAGGCACAGATGTATATCAGGTGCTTGAGTCCAGAGCTGAGTCTCTGAAAACATCCCCTCTGTGGCCACATGAATGTGGTGGAGTGCGTTCCCCTTCCGTAGGTGTCTCTCTCCCAGTCCTCAGCCCCCTTCTTTTGTTCTGGAAAATGCCATTCGCACCTGCATCTCTGCCCTGTGCACACTCCTGTGCAGCTCTGGCTTAGGAAATGCAGCCCATCTTCTTTTCCCGTCTGTTACCCTGAGCCAGGTAACAGGCAGCTCAGCAGCCCGCTGGGCCTGGTCCATGGGCTGGCTCAGAGCACACCTTACAGCTGAGTACTGGTAGTACCCTTCATAATACCCATACATGCCTGGGATTATTTTTTATACTTAATTTTTATTATTACTGTTTTTTTTTTTTTAACTGCCAACTGCAGGAGAGGACAAAAGTGACAGTGAAACTGTCCTGGCAACATTGAACGAGTTGGTTGGAAGAATCTAAACCAGAGTTTTACTATCCACATGTTCTGCTAAGGAAACATAGGTGCCTGGCTGGGTTGCAGCTTTACACCTGTGCCTGAGGATGTGGGAGTCATGGGTGCAGGGAGACGGGAGTTCTATGGATCTCTGGGTTTCCAAGGCTTAGTCACACAGAATGCCTAGCACAGACCCTGAACTTGGCTTCATTTGAGCCAGTTCTGGTCTGTGTGCAGCAGGGATATGCTGTTCATCAGCCTTCTTCACTTCTGGAACTGGGGGTGGAAAGTAGACTCATCCGTGGCAGTCAGGCCTGTGTTTGGTGTGCTCAGCGTGGATGACTGTACTGAGTCATCTTACTCAGTAAAATGAGGAATTGTGTAGTTTCCTCATAGATTCAACTTGAAATAACACTTCATACCTGTGTGGCTTGATGAGGACCACAGGTATGGTGCACCACTCTAGTGCTTAATAAGCATGGGGAGAAGTATCATGGACTGTGAGCAATTTTTTTTTCAAAAGGGTGCTTTTTAAAGAACCCTTTACCTGATGCTACAGCTGCTCATTACTGAGTGCGCTGATTAATTTCTTTATATGTCTGCATTACAGACACTCACTGGAGTGAATTTAAGAACTCATTAAAAATAATGTTGTTTTTGTTAGCTGGCTCGGATAAATGCAGTGTTTTAACTTGGAACAAATTCCTGCAGATGGCTGGATTGATGCTGGTGAGGTAGTGATAATCTGTAGTAGGGGAAGGAAAAGTGCCCATTTTGGTGGATGAGTGACTGAGAAGGGGATGGCCTTCAACAGAGTTAGTCATGGTAACAAGATGAGTTGTGAGACAAGTCTGTGTGTCTTGTGCAGAGGTTTGGAGATGTGCAGGTTTGGGTTCCTGCAGTTAGCTTTCCTGTCTTTTACTTTACGGTCACTCTTATTTCTGTTTCCAGTACTTCTGAGGCTACAGCAAAAATTTCTTAGGACTCTTGTACGGTGTCAATTGTTTGAGCATAAAGATGCATGGCACTGTAAGGAAAAGTATTTCTTGTGGTCAGCAAGAAGTGTTGCATTTTTAGTACCTGGCTTGTTTGGTAGCAAACACTACAAAGGTACAAACAATTGCTGATAAACTGCCTCAGTGTATACTGGGTATCTTCAATACAACATGGCACAAGCTAAGTGTTCAAGCTACCTTCTTCAAGTGTAATTATATGTGGTATTAATATCACTAGTATACTGACATCTTAAAACTGGGAATTAGCCCTCACTATGTCATTTTTCTTCTGCTATTTCTGAAGATCTCCATTAAATTGGTTATGTGGTAATGGTGTCCTGAATTTTGTGGAAGCATGAAAATACAATTGCAATTTATGGGCAGTCCTCGTGTGTTTCTGAGCTGTGGATTGCTTTTGAGACATGGGTGAGAAGAGTGAAATATTATGATTAACCCAAAGAATGAGACTGCAGTGACTATTGTTTTTTGAATTTTCCTTGTTAAAGTAACAAAGAGGTTGTTATAGCCATATCTTCTGTTGTGAGGGATGTGGGAGAGGGGTTGGTGTATTTGAATCAAAATCGTAAGATGTTTTCCAGGGTCCTATGCACATTCTAGTGAACAGTTCTATATTGTTCAGAGATACCAGGAATTTCTTTGACACTGCTAGCAGTGGTCAAGGTATTTGCATTTGTGTATTTATACCGTGTATAAGCAAATGAGTTTCTATTAGAATTTTACTAATACAGAAAAATCTTCTTAGGTACTTGGACACAAGTGAGAACATAATTTGGATTGAAATTGTACTGCTTTACCTGGTATTCTATAGCAAAACTGACAGGATGTTTATTTTTGTAACCTCACAGGGACTTAAGTCACAACAAATTATCTTCAATCAAGACCAGTATCTTGGATCACCTTCATAGTCTTCAGGAAGTGTAAGTTAATTTGTCTTAATTAAAAACCATACCAAAACATAAACCCCAACCAAAAATACACAACCTGTGTTTGTGTATGCTAATTGTATAGTTATTTCTCTAGAGATGGTTGCTCGAACAACAAAGATACTTGCTGTTCTGATATTTTGGATTAAGTGAAACTGGAATTTTTTTATTTTTAATTCTGAGGTGACACAGTTTAGCAAGTCCAATGTATGTACTTCTGATTAACATAAAAGCTAACTCTCCCTTTTGTAATATTAATAGGAAGTTGAACAACAATGAACTGGAGATCATTCCAGATCTGGGACCAGTCTCGGCAAATATAACTCTTCTGTCTTTGTAAGTAAATCTTACTCTTGTCCCTGGTTAGTGGAACTAACTCTACAGGGTTCATGGAAATGTGTGCATTACAGAGATTAAAGTAAAATAATTGGAAATAGAGCAGTTTGTGGTTAGGAAGTTGATTATGTCATATTATTTAGTAGTACTTTAAAATGTGAATAATTGAGCTTAATCCTTGTTATTTTTGTACTTCTCAGATACAAAGACTGCATTAGAATTAATTTATGTTGTGGTAGTGCCTGGAAGCCTCAGTCCTGTTGTGCTAGGCACTGTACAAGCATCTGTAAATGTTACACAAACTTGTACAGTGCTGTCTTTAAAACAAGACTTACACTCCGTCATTACGCATTTTGGCTGAGATCCTGATGTGTTAAATCCTGGCAGAATTCCATGAATTTCACTGGGCAATACAGGGAAATCCCCTCGAGATGTAGCTTCAGATCGAGTATCTAGGATAGATCCCAATGTTTTGCCAATCTCTTGAAATTTTTTTTTTGAGCCCATTTTAAAGTATGGCACATTTTTTTATGACTGCAGTTAATACATTAAATCGTTACACATGATTGTGTGTCCATGTTCATTGCTTTTCATGAAAGAAATTAGCTGGTTACTTGGTGTTCATTTGTAGTATGAGTATAAAGTTGTAAAAGGCATATAGGGCCCATAATCAAAAAAGTTGATTTTAAGGAAAATCTTATTCCTGATCTTTTAACCATAAAATAGTTGGATTTTTTTAATGTGATTTAGTTTCAAGAAACTGTGGAAGGAAGGTGTAGAAAAGCAGTTACTATCATACTGTTAGTTAGAAAAAAGAAAAGACCTGGTTTTCGTGTGTGGGATTTGTGTTTTATCAGTGTGTCTAATCTAATGAATCTGAAGTGTCTAAAGCTATTAATATGTAGCCCTCTGGCCAAATCCTGTCCTTGAATACAAATTGCAAGTTACCTTTCTTGAACAATCCTGAAGGGTTAAAACAATACAATAAACTTTGGAAAGCTGTTCAGTTAATTAAATTGATCACTATTCAATTGCTTACATCTGGTGATTTATAGGGGTTTGTTTTTACTCTAGGTCTAGGTCAGCCAAGTCAGCTGGTGCAGCCGCTGTGTCTGGGCTGCTCTGTTTGAATAAGAACTAAGTGACATTTGATACTGATGTGTTTTCTTGCAGATCAAAATCAGAAAAGAATGAAAGAAAAAGCAGATGGTGTCTGACAAATAACTGTTGAATTTTAGCACATCTTATATTTTGTAGTAGCATTGGCATTACTTTTACACTGGCATAGCACTCTGTAGTTTAAGCATCTAATTGAGCTAAAGATTATATTTCTCATATATATAAAAATTTTACCACCTTGCTAAGGTCCTTTTTACCACAAGGCTAGAAATATTAGCATAATTGTGGTTTATATCGTCTTGCTTTAGTTCTGAATTCTTAGCATTTCTATTTCTCATGGAAGCTCAACAAGTTCAGAGGAACCTAAAATCATTCTTTTGGAGCTGTGCAAAAATTCTGGTATTCCTTTGAGAGTATAAATTATTATCAGTCACTGTTGAATTGTTGGTTTCATATCTTTAGGTCCCTGGCTTGGGGCATTTGCTCAGGTGGTCAGACATGGAAAAATCTTCATTAGATCTGTGCTATGCACTGTGTATGTTAACACCTAAAAAAGAAAGAAAAGTATTTTCTAAAAGCTTTTATCACACTACTAATGCAGTTAAAGTTGCTCTGGGTGGGTGTTAGCTTGTTTTCATTCTAATTCTATGTGTGGATAAGGATATTACTGAATGTAACTGTGCTGCAGCTGAAATTTAATACTTATTCTACTACTACAGCAGAGATTCCTGGAGTTTAATATGGCAGAAATAATTGTGTTAACTTTTATAACTTAACTTTATAATTTAACTCTTTAATAAAGAAGTGTGAACTTACAAATTCCAGCCTACAGTAGTTAAGATAATTGTTTGTTCTATATCAAAACTTGATTTGATTACACTTCTTATGAGATACATGTATGTTGGTTCATTACTGTCATTTGAAAAGCCAGCTGGTTTTTTCCAAGGAATCTTCAAGGAAAGCTATAGAAGTGATACCTTCTTTTCTTGCCAATATCTTCATTGTTGAAGAAGCTATATTACAAGACTTCTTTCTTTCACTTGTTAAGAATTTTCGCTGAGCTGGGGAACCTTAGAATTTCACCTGTTCTGCAAGAATTTTCTTGCCCTGCAGAGGAAATTGCACTGCTGGTATGTCTCCATAATAGTGCAGGTATCCCCACACAGCCATGTATGTCTGAATTCTTTGAAGAATATAAACAAGCATGGGTGGATTATCATGTTAGTCCAGTTTCCATTTCTGGAGCTAGCTCATTTCTAGCTATCGAGTTGATATTTTATCTAAATGAGATATTTACATACTAATGAATTATTCAGGATAAACATACCCAGAGCAGGAGATGTTCCCAGTCTCATGGTCCCAGTCTGTCTGTAACATGAAACAGCAGTGCTAACATTTTGTTTTTACTGATGCCAACTGAGGGTTGAACATCTTGGGAATGAAAAGTATCAGGCAGGCACACCTCCTCACTACCACCCTGGGAGATGTGCCAGTGTGAAGGAGTGAGTATACAAGGATATTCAGACACACTCATTACACGGATGGAGATTTATCTATGATTTTATTCATGTGATGAGTATGTATCTTGTTACATGTCATAGGAGAGCTTGTGAGCTTCCTGGGAATCTGGATACTACTGTGAGCTACACGGGTGATAATTTGGGCTATATCTGGTCAGGAGGCTTAGGTCAAGTCTCTGAAAATTAAATTGTAGGGTGTTCTTTTTGCACAGCCACCAAGCCCTTTTATATAACTTCTGTGAGAGAAGGCATGAAGAAAGCAGTATATTAAGGCAGGAAGAGGGAAGTTCACGTATTTATGCCAGAGATTGTCAGCACAATAGCTCTAGCCAGGAGGTCAGGTCTCCTACACACTGGCAACATAAGCTTTTGAGGAGAGTATTGGATTTAACAGCTGCTTACCACAGGTATATAATGTGCAGACACCACACACACACTAAAGTAGGTGTATTTATCTATCCCTAGCAGTAAAATGTTAGGAGTTTTCTAGTTTGTGTTCCTTAAGTAAATGTAAAAACAATTAAATTAATAGAGAATTGCTTTAAATAGTTGCAATAGAAAATTCTTTATTTCTTGGAGGAAAAACAATTTACTTTTTACTCTTCCAAGATAGGTGGATTGATTTTGAGCCAGGTAAAAAAGTGGGCACTAATGCCCTCATTCCAGAAGAAGTGAAAGTTCTAAATATTGTTTCCATGCTAATGATGTTGCTTATCCAAGAGGTACCAGTTCTGTCCTATTTATCCTAAAAATCTGCCTGAACCAGTGATCTGGACACATGAGAAGAAAGCTGATATTATCTTTTAGGTCTATCACAGTTGTAGTTTTGGACCTTGGGTAAAAACCCAGAAGTAGATTGAAACCAAATAATGCAAGTATGACAGCCTTGTCTAGAAGTCCTGCTTGATGTTTAACTACCAACTACTACTTGCATAGGGGTTTTACTTTAAAGTTCTTCTGAAAATGTTAACTACTTTTAGTGTTACTAGTACTTTGTAAGGAAGAGACACTGATTTGCAAATTCAGCAATGTTATTTAAGATTTTGTTTAAGGATATGCAGTTCAAGTAAGAAACCCATGCTACCTTGCAGAATTTAAAGAAATATCTAGTTGTAGACAATATCCAGCATCATCAGTATACTGTATCCTTGAGTATAGTGAAAAATGGAAGGTAGCAATGACTATGAAGAGACAAATCAACTTTGAGTATTAAAGTATCCTGTCTTTCCAACTGGAATTTATTGTTCTTATCAAAACATATGTGTAGAACTAATATTAAAACCCCCATGTTTCTCAAACCCACATCCAGGGTGTGTTCTGTAGTAATCCACTTGCAGTCAGTAGGGATTGGAAAAGCTGTAAATGCCCAAATTTTTAGTGCATGTAGAGAGATTCTGACATTAGACTAGTTTTCAAGAACAGAGTGTTTTAAATAAACTTGTAATTTTACATTTTATTGAATAGGAGATACTTTATTTAAAGGCAATAGAGCATATGGCGTAGATGGTTCAGATTGTTACGTTGTGAGTACTGATCGTGTTAGTCTAGAACACAAATAAATATTTGGTCTTAGTAAAGCCAGAGAGGAAAATGCAGAAGTCGTGGAAGCTAAAGGGTGCATGAATGAATCACAGTTCAGGAATGTTTTTCAAGTCTTAAATTAATGTGTGTTTTATATTAGGTTCCCGCTTCACTATTTTTTTATTTTTTTTTTTAGAATGTGAAATCTTCTGTTTATAAGAGACATAACAAAAATGTGACATGGTAGAGGTTTTTCTCTGTTGTGCTGGGGGAATTCTCCAACTATCTGTACAGGGAGCCTTTAAAGCAGGGACCATAACTTTGGAGTTCTGAGAGAGTTAAAAGTACTGCCAAAATTGAGGCAGATTTTTGAAATGTGACCATGTGTTTGTTAGATAATGAACAGATTCCACAAGCCACTTCTCTGAAGGTTTTCTACAGCCTTTGGTTTGTAATGTCTTTCTGTCAATATGTGCTGAATTTAAATTCACTGACTTTAAAGATGTGTCTTGTATCCTGGATGTTTAAAATGGTAAATAAACAAAAAGTAGTAACAGAAAAGGTCAGGAGATAAAAACAGGACAAAAGAACTGTAAAGTAGTCAATCCTAGGTGGCTGCACAGGTCACAAGTTTTCATAGCAAGAAAAACTATTTCAACTTTAAGTTTAGCTTTCTGGTCAGCCACTAAAAAATTAGCCTGATTACTTATTTTTTACACAACCATAGTTACTTGAAGAAAAATTCTACTATTGAGAAGGGATTCTTTGTTTTTGTTGTTTAGTATTGTGTGTCCCTTTCTGTTTAAAACATGGAAAAGTGTATTTGTGTATGTTATGTGA